TGGCATATTTTAGAAGATCCTATGAAAAAGACAGTTCGGAAAACACACCCATTTTGGAGGACCCTGGCATTCCTTTTAAAATTACTTTAGAACTTTAAAATTACACTAGAAAGCTTTAGGTCACCATGAAATTTCGTATTCTGAACTACTACGCAGCAAGACTTTAGCTTTTACTCAGTGGGCCTCGGCAAGTCATTTTCTTTCCAGTTTGCAGAACTCCTGTTTGCTCCACAAGGGAATAGGCTGTGATCATCTGTGTTTCCCAAAGTCCGCAAGCCCCCAAATGCCCTATCTGTTAACAAAATCTCTAGTTCACAAATCTAGCATTCTTTTTTTTCTCTCTGCATACTGCTTTGCAGTGTAGCATTTAGGAGAAAAACTATGCTAATGTAGACAGTGCTTGTGCTGCACAGTTTAATGCACCAGCAAGAACCAGTGATTTCTAGTATACTCTGTGCAACATTATAATATATCTTTCCCGATTTTAAATATGTGGGGTGCAAATAGTCACAGCAATATCAGCCCTCAGCTATGAATTACTTGTAATAATAAGCCATAGCTTAATATCTAGTATAGAAAAGCTACCTAGTAAACATTTGTCAAAGAAATAGCATCATTTGGGTTATAAATGTCTGTTTATAGATTTGGCAATGGGTTCAGTAATTTTAAAATGTTGCAATTTAGAAGTTTGAGGGGAGAAGTGCCGAAAGAGGAGAAAATCTTTCTCTTTTGCCTTTTGGCCAAGTATCAGCTGTTCAATGCATATGCTTTCCTATGTGACTTTAGTTGCAAGCAACCGAAACCAAATCTTGTGGCTCAAAAGTGGATTAGCTAACTCTTGGATAACTGGGAAGACGGCAGAGCGAGCTTTGGGCAACCAGCCTAGAAGATTGGTTAGTGCTGAGTCTTCCAGGTCCTTGGGAAGTGCATGTGCCCAACTGACTCCGGACTATGCCAAGTCATAGCTTCTGGGATCTGGGGAGACAGCTTCTACAATGGTGGGTGACTCCGATTCTCATGATGGCTTGTAATATGGGACTTTCTCAACGATGAAAAGGGGTTCATCATTTGAGCATCCCTAAAATATGAAAAAGTGCTATACTTCCATCTGGATGAAAACCTAGCTCTAGTATTCTGAATTTCTTCTCTCTTCTGATGATCCTGAACACTGAGTAAACAATCACTGCATATAATGGCTTTCAATCATCTAAAAACCACAAAGGAAGTGCACATAATTGGTCACAAGTCTTTTCCCTATTCCTAGTAAATGTGCTCAGTACAATGGTTCTGAATCCATCCTTACTCCCTCACCCTGTAGAAATTGAATTCTGTACCTGTATTCAGAGAAATGTGCCATAGAAATTATGATATGTACATCTGGGTAGGGACCATGTTTTACTTTCTCCCATCTCTCTTATTTGGAGATCTCCCCACCCATCAGTCTCAACCAGTGATTCTTCCATCAACCAGAAAAGTGCGACTCTCTGATGCAAATTCACTTATAGCTTCTCTCCTTTAGCTCCAAATTTTTTCTTTACCTGTCCCATCCTCCTTCTGTACTTTCGAAAGCTGAACTAGTCACCAGCGCTCACCTGGACATCCTCTGGTTGAAGCTGAGACTACCGAATACCTGTCTTCCAGATGACTGTGTCTTTGGCCTCACCTCCCTCATCTCTGATTCCCCTTGGCCTGAAACATCCTAGTCTCCCTCATCAGCCCTTCAAGACAACCCAGATCCTCATGCATATCAACCCAGAGGATCCCTCCTTCTCTGCCTTCATCTTTTACCTGCAAAGGTCTGAAAGGAGGGGTTTGTACATGTGAATTCTTCTTTCCCACCTCTATTCTCCACTCCCTGTCCTTGCTTCCAAACTCGCCTGGAAGCTCTGTCAGTGTCACGAGGGCTTCCTCACAGCCCCGAACATGACCTCTTCTCAGTTTGTGCTCTTTTTGACATTTTGGAAGAATGTGGCCTTGTTGAAAGCCCCCTTCTGTCCATGGTTTATTTATTTATTTATGCATACAGAACTGGGATACAGGCCAGAGGTGTGGTGGGTGAGAGAATTCACCAGAGACAGACTGGGGAGCAGAACAGGCAGATCTACTGAAATATACTGCTGAGGGGAGCAGTGGGCGGGTCAGGAGAGGTCTGCCACGCCATATGGGTCAGCTCGCTAGCTGGGCATTGAACTCATACGGCAGTGGTTTCTGAGAGCTTCATAGTGTGGTGCTTTAACCTAGAGCACCACCAGAGAGAGTTCCATATCTTTCCCCCTCAGACAATACTTTCTCAGCTTCCTTTGCTAGACTTTCTCCTCTCCATGTTTCTACTTTCTTACCTAGGCCATTCTCATTTCTCTTCTATATCCTTAAATTAGATGACATCCTGTGTCACTCATCCTGATTCTCCTAAAGTTCAACTGGTCACAGCTAGGCTGCCCTTCTATTTCTTCTTTTTAAAATTATTCTAGTAAATGATACATAGCATAACATTGACCAACTGAGCCATTTTTAAAATATACAGTTTGATGACATTAAGCCTATTGACTTCATGCTCCACTATTCCTTTTTTAGTGGGAGTGAGGAGAAGAAAAGGTAATTTCTCTTTTTCTAAAATTTTTTCACTTTTTTTTAAAAAAAGATTTATTTGTTTATTTATACATGCAGAACTGAGGTACAAGCCAGAGGTGCAGCGGATTCACCAGAGACAGAGTGGGGAGCAGAACAGGGAGACTGAAAGAGTACACTGCTGAGGGGAGCAGCGGACCAGTCAGGAGAGGTCTGCCGTGCCATGTGGGTCACCTCTGGGCCGGGAATCAAACTCGCACTGAAGCGGCTGCAGCTCACTTGTAGTGCTGCATTTTAACCCGTTGCACCACCAGGGAGGGCCTAAAATTTTTTCACTTTTAAAAATTGATGTCTAATTGACACACTATTTTAGTTTAAGGTGTACAACACAATGAGTCAATATTTGCTTGTACTGCAAGATGATCATCATAATGACTACCGACTATCTTAGCAACTTTCAAACTTACAACACAGTGTTATTGCCTATAGTCCCACACTCTATATTACCTCCCTTTGGCATATTGACTTGTATATTTCTTTTTCAACTGGGTATTTGTGCCTCTGATACCCTTTGGCCTTTTCTTCCAGCCCTCAACCCTCCAACTCTCTGGCAACTACCAGCCTGCTCTGTTTGGTTTTGTCTTCATTTATTTATTACTGGGGCCCGCCTCCCTCCATAACACAGCCGGGCCTGTTGTGTGGTCAACGTGGGCTCCAGACAGTAAGTCTGAGTTTACATCCCCATTCCAGAGCTCTGACTACGGCTCTCACACTGTCTGCCTCACCTTCCTTGCCCTGTTACTCTCTCCACTTATGGAGTACACAGTCACTTTGCTAAAATAATAGCAGTTTCGTTTATGTGTGAGCAAACCCCCCACAAAGGACTTGTCCTCTTAGATAGAAAATGAAATGTTTGAAGAAAGACTCAGCCTAAAAGCAGTAAAACTGGATATATTGGAGGAAGATGTCAACTCTGGCATTGGCTTAGATTTATGACATAAAAGGCCCCACCCACCCAGAGTGTTTGGAAGGGGAAGGGAAAACAATCAGTAAAACTTTCTGGTGACTGCTTGAGTCTTCAAGCAGAGTTAAGAATTGCTCAAGTCACTGCCATGGAAGTTGAAAAACTTGGATTTAGCTGAATTGCAAGAATTTGCTCAGGATAAAGGTGTTTTGGAGAAATGTGATGTGTATAAACTTCAGGATACCTTCTTATGTCTTTAGAGATTCATCATGCATCTAAAGAGGTCACATTGCATTTCAGTGTTTCTTTCATTTTATGGAAGAATGTTGGCTTATGAGTGGCATCTCCTGCCAGCCTAGAGCTGTCCTGGGTCTCTGTGGAGGGTCTCCCACATTCCAGAGGCAGAGAGAGGCGCTGAGAACGTCACGGTGGAGAAGGATTCTAGCGAGTCCTTGCTATGTGTTAGAACTAGTTAGTTTCTAGCATATATTTCCTTTCAGATGGAGTCTCGTCCATCTCATGTTCCAGCCCAGAGCCTGTCACAAAAGATACACTTTCTACCATCTCCAGTTTTGGTAAAGGATAGGTGGAATATTTTAGTGATCAGACCTTACTTTTCCTTTAGAGACGGCCAACAGAAGTAATGACCTTCAAAGTGTTTCAACCCAGAATGTCACCTCTTTCTAAACCACATTTGGCCTCACAGAGGGGTGGCCTGTTCTAAGTGACACCCTGCCCTTGCCCAGCTAGATGCTTGAGAAGCTGGCCACGGCCATCGTCAAAGAGGCACATGTGGGCAAGGAAACATCCCCACGCGAGCCTGGGCATCTGGCAGCCAGAACTCTCTGGGTACAGCCCTCGCAGAATGATAACAGGCTCCGGGGCCCTTTTTTGCTAAAGGTCCCTCAGCTGGCGTCTGTTCTGCGGAGGCGCCACCTTGCCCAGCTCGGGGCCCCTGCGGGCGCGTGTTTTCTGGGCGCGCCAGTGGTCACCTAGCACTGTGCCCATCCGCGCTCGCGCAACTCCGCGGTGCCCGAGGACTTTACTGCGGCGGGTGCTTCGGCGTCTCCTGGGTCTCTGCCGCGGGTCCCCCACACCCCAGGGGCGGAGCGAGGCGCGGAACGTCAGGGCGGAGAGCTAGCGCGGGCCAAGCGCGCCCTCCCGGCGGCTGCCCGTGGCCCGCGTCCCCGACTGGCGCGGCTCTGAGATGCAGTTAGCGGCGGCGCTGGGGCCCAGTCAGGCGACGGCGCGGGAGGGGGCCAGAGGCTGAGCCCCGGCCGAAGAAGCCTGGGCGAGCCGGCCTGCGCACAGCGTTGCCCTGCATCCCCGGAGCGGATCCGCGGCGCCTCTCAGCTCTCCCCGGGGTTCTAGCAAAGCCCCCCCGGGGTGCCCATCAGTTTCTTTGGGTGACTACAGCGTGTGTTTTTCTTTCCTCTTCCCCGCTCCCGCCCGGTGTGCCCTTCTCCAGGATGGCAGAGGCGGAATTGCACAAGGAAAGACTGCAAGCCATAGCAGTAAGTCCACTTTCATTTTATTTTCTTGCTCTATTGTCTGGGATGGAAGGGGACCCCGAGTGTTTCGGGGCGATCGTCATTCCAGCGCAGAAGCCGCAGGGCATGTGTTAATATTTCGGGCATGAAAGTCTGTCAGGGCTCCGCGGGGCTGCTTTTGCTTTTGTATGTCTGTAGGTAGAAACCCTCAGGGCGCACTTTGGGCCGGGGGTTGGACTGTGGTAGATTGGCTTAGAAATAGCTGTGGAGGCTCGCTAATGCGCTTTGGGGAGGACAGATCCTGGAATATGATCACCCAGTGCTCAGTCACACTCTGACTTCACACACTGGAGGAGAGAGCGGAAGCAGGTCGCCTGCTAAGTGAAAAACCAGCAGTTCGCTCCGCTGCCAGCCACATGGTAGCACCTCCTCCCAGAGGCCGGAGTGGGACTTTCCCCAGCTCTGTTTGATATTGACAAGGACACTGGCCAAGAGTGGTCTGGGGACTTCTGAGCACCACGGGCTACTGGGAATAATATTCCAAGAGAGCCTCCTTCCAAAGGGTGTGGGCAATGAAAACCTCTTTTCAGCATACAAAGGAGCAACCCGTTTTGGCAAAGTTTTCATGCACTTTGAGAAAAGCATACCCATGTTTCTTGGGCATAAAAGAGAACTCGGTGAGACCGCCCAGATTTGAGCAATCTTGCCACAATGTTGCCAATGATCCACAGATGTGGTATTTTTGCCGGAGCCACCACAGCTGGATTATGTATTTCCTTTGCGGATGAGGGAATGATTACTGCTGTTACGTGAAATAATAACAATTAAAAAAGAAGGTCTATTTGCATGCTGGCATAGAAGAATCTCCAGATGCTCTTCCACCTATGTACTTTTTTTTTGGTCCAGGAGTTCCCTAGAAACACATAAAGATGTTGGAGAAATAGTGTGTAATGTTTTGGAAGCAAAGGGTATTAAAGTGTTTTCAAAAGCCTTTGGACAGATTCTTCATTTGGAAAATGTGCACAGGCCTTTTTATTTATTTATTTATTTGTTTGAGGAAGCATTTGATGTGGTCTCTGGTTCTGAGACCCCTTTATCAAACTATTAAAATCTTAAATAAAACTTTACCACTGAAGTGAGAGAGACACTTGTTGGCAATGTTGAAATGCTGTGGTTTGCCTGGACTGTCTTGTCTTTGATCTTGGACTCCAGAACTCAGGAGAACTGTCTTTTCTTTTCTGTCCCTCTCCCTTGTACATGTGCATTTTGATAGCTAATGAAGTTATTCGTGGGTTTTAAAGTTAGTGGCAAGGCAGTGTGGCTCGATAAGAATGGAGATATTCACTTATTGGTGCCATGTAGCTGGTGGGGGTTTTATATAAACCGAATAATAGGCTGCTTTAGCCGTTCATGGACTGGCTGCTTCAGAGAATGTTCTGTTGCGCCCATAGGCTGATGCTGGGGGTTACCAACTGTCACGTTTTCTGCCTTTGCATGACCAGCTTTACTGGATGCCTGAGGAACAGCTGAGCCCCATGAAAGGACTTGCGTTCTGAGCAAGGAGCCAGTAGCAGCCAAAGCTGGGGCCACCCCTTTGCAAGTGGGACTGAGTAATCCCAGCAGGAGCCAAGTCGATTTTCAAGAAAGATTTAACCAGTCTTTTGGAATTCTTTTGAATGCACGAGAGGATTAAACCCCATTCTCCTTAGTCCTGGGTACCTGGGAAGGTGATGATGATTCTTAGCAACTTATCAACATCATATACATATATGTGCTTACCAGCACAGATTTCTAACAGTGAAGTCTGAGTGTGTGAAAAGAGTGTGTGGAAAGAAAGTTAAGAATTAAGAGACTGGAAAGGGAGTAGGGGACTTGTGAACAGGTCACTAAACAGTTCTGTGCCATGCTGTGACCTAGCACACACTTCAAATTCAGCAAGCCCAACTCTCTCTGCCACACTCCGAGAGTTTGCAGAGGACTTGAGGGGTGCCCCAGCCTGCCCTCAGAGCCCAGCACTCCTGAAGTCTAGTCTATCAGGAGATGTGAGGTTGGGGAGAACAAATCTTACTGCCTTACCAATTTGAACTCCTCTCCAAGACGTAGAGCAGATCGAGGGAGTTCTTGTCTCTGGTGCCTTGGGCATTCTTTCTTCTGGTCCTCAGTTTCTTCATCTATAAAATGGACTCATGAGATCTGCCTTGTGAGCTGGTTGGAAGGTTAAGCTGTAGTGTCCATGTGAAGCCCCTGGCAGGGAGCTGCCCTTGGGGTGTGCTGGGGAGAAGTCCCTGATCCCTCTCTGCTCTGTGCCTTGCCCTGTGGGAAGCAGTATTTCTGAGCAACCTTTCTTTTAACTCTGAACTGGCCACTTATGGAACATTGTTTGTTATTCTTCCCTTTAACTCTGCCCAGTGTCTGTTTCTCGCTGCTTCAGACACAGGTGCAGAGATGGCACCTAAATGCTGCCCGTCATTCAGCAGGTGCCTCCTCTGGGAAGGTGCTGGCAATACCAGGAAGTCAGTGTCCCCTAGTTCCAGCCACCAGAGGAAAGAGTGTACCCCTTTCACACTAAGTCCTGAAAGAATAGATATCTGTGACCTGAGATATTTGTCACCTGGTTACCTGTGGCATTTTTTTCTCCCTCAAGGGAATCAAATATTCAGAAATGACAGCATTTTAATTGAATTTTCCAGTGAAGTCCAGAGACGTAATCAATGAGGAAGGGTGAATCTGATCCTGTTTCCTTCCAAAAGAGGAATGTGTCCACTTTTGACAACTGTTCATCTGTAGAGTCACCCCCAAAGTTGTGGTTTTAGAAGATAGCGGTCTGCCTCTCTGACCAAATGAATGTGAGGGCTAGCTCCAGGGAATAATAATACAATTGCCTTTTATGGAATAGTTTCTAGTTAGTAAGATACATGTAAAGTGTGTGTGTGTGTGTGTGTGTGTGTGTGTTAGCCCTTAATGGTCAGTGGTTAGTGGTCTAAGGAAGGAAATAGGAACACACAGGGCACTCCCACAGGTGTGTACACACGCTGCATCAGCCAGCCTCCAGGTGCTGTGGAGGGGGGGGTCTGAGCCAGTCCCGAAGATGGGGTGAAATTGGTATGAAGGAACACAGTGGCCTGCCCAAAAAGCAGAGACATTAATTTATTTGCTCTTAGCTTGTTATTTATTTGGCACACTTAGTGTGAGAAATGGAAAACAAGAACATGAAGAAGGCGTACCTAAGACATAAACTTAGTGATAAGATAGAAATACACTTTAACATGCATGATGCCATTTAATACTATTAACCAGCTTATGAGGTAGTTACTCTTCTGTTATCTGTATTTTTTTTAAAGATTTATTTATTTATGCATACTAGAACTGGGGTATAGGCTAGAAGTGTGTGGGAGAGGTGACAAGATTCACCAGAGACAGAGTGGGGAGCAAAACAGGCACATTGACTGAAGTACACTGCTGAGGGGAGCAAAGTACACTGCTGAGGGGAGCAGCGGGCTGGTCAGGAGAGGTCTGCTGCGCCATGTGGGTCACCTTCTGGCTGGGTGGGAATCAAACTCGTGCTGCAGTGGTTGCAGATCGCCTCTTAGTGCTATGCTATAACACATTGCACCACCAGAGAGGGCCCTATTACCTGTACTTTTTTTAATAGTTTATTTTATATCTTTTCCCACCTCAGTTGTAATCCCCGTGGGCTTCCCATCACCAAATCACCCATGTGCCATCATCACAGCCCACTGCTCTTCCCTCCCCCCACTGCTTTTGATCCCATTCCCCATTCCACCCCATAAAAGATCTCTGGTATATAGTTGTTCATTATTATTATTATTTTCTCGCCTGGTCCTTCATACTCCTGCTATGAGTAAAAACATCTGGTATTTTTTTCTTTTCTTTCTGACTTATTTCACTAAGCATGATCTTTTCCAGCTTCATCCATGTTGTTGCAAAAGGCATGTGTTTACTTTTTTTTGGTTGTTCAGTAATATTCCACTGTGTATATGTACCACATCTTTTTAATCCAGTCATCTATTTTTGAGCATTTGGGCTGTATCCATGTCTTTCCAATTGTAATTAAGGCAGCAATAAACATGGGGGTGCGGGTGTCTTTTTGAATCAGTGTTTTAGTGTCTGTTGGGTAGATACCTAGGAGTGGGGTTGCTGGGTCATAGGGAAGCTCCATATTTAGCAGTTTGAGGAACCTCCAAACAGTTTTCCATAATGGTTGTACTAGTTTGCAATCCCACCAGTAGTGCAGGAGAGTTCCTTTTTCTCCATATTCTCACCAACATTTGTTGTTGCTAGTTGTTTGAAGATGTGCCATCCTCACTGGTGTGAGGGGGTATCTCATTGTGGTTTTAATTTGCATCTCCCTTATTACAAGGGATGTTGAACATTTTTTCATATGTTTGTTGGCCATCTGCACTTCCTCTTTGGAGAAGTGTCTTTTTAGCTCTTCTGCCCATTTTTTGATGGAACTGTTGATTTTTGTTGAGTTTCATCAGTTATTTGTATATCTTTGTGATCAATCCTTTATCGCTAATTTTGTGTGAGAAAATTTTTTCTCAATCAGTGGGACTATTACCCATAATTTAAAGATGGAGAGCCCAGCGATAACAGGGAGTGTCAAAGCCGGGATCTGCACCCGCTTTGTCCTGAACCGCCCTTCAGTTGGCGGCAGCATCTGACACTTTTCCTGTGAGAACACTATGCAGTTGCTTCCCACCACCTCAGTGTGAGTGGAGGAGGGAGAAGCACGCTGGTTAACAAGACAAGCCAGGAAGCCCTCATTCTTGTGAGTGTCTTCCAGGCTAGGGTTCTGTGCATGGAAACATCCAGTGTAAACTCTCACTGAAGGAGTAAGTCCTTTGGGGAAAGAAATTATCATAGCTCACTGGAAACGAGCTTTGGGGGAGGATGTTGTTATGTCTCCACACCCGAGAAGAAGATAGTCTTCCTTGGGTTCTTGTGAAAATACTAAACATGTCAGAGGTCAGAAAGCAGGCAGAAAGCCTCAGAGCCGCATG